GGAAAAAGGCGCGAGGGGGGGTGGGGTGGGGGGTGGGGTTGGGAGTAGGCATTGTTAGCCATAATACTAAAATTTAATAACCACATTCTAAATAGTTGTGAAGCAACCAAGCATACATACATCATCTAAACCACTTATCCTTCTGGGTCGCCGTGGGGTGCTGGAGCCTATCCCAGCTGTCATTGGGCGGAAGGCAGGATACACCCTGGACAGGTCACCAGTCCATCGCAGGGCAGACAGACAGACACATTCACACACACACTCACACCTAGGGTCAATTTTAGCATGTCCAATCAGCCTGACTGCATGTCTTTGGACTGTGGGAGGAAACCGGAGTACCCGGAGGAAACCCACGCAGACACGGGGAGAACATGCAAACTCCACACAGAAACGACCCTGGTCACCCGGCCGGGAATCAAACCCAGGCCATTCTCGCTGTGAGGCAACAGCGCTACCCACTGCGCCACCATGCTGCCCGCAACCAAACATGTGAACAACAAATTGCATTTTTATAGGCTACAGAAATGGCAGAGCCTTCAGACAGTCATAAGGCCACAACTGTAAAAAGTGCTCTTAAGAAAGGTGAATACATGGCAATAAAGCCAAGTCAAATCTGACATGTGCCAGTCATTTTCAACCATGACTAACCCATATGGACACCAGTTATACAGTTCTACAGGCGGGAGCAGGACAAAAGGTGCCGATTTTCTGAAGAAACGGGATGCAATCTTGCGGGAACGGCACCAAAAAATGGTCCCCTGCAGACTTCTAGTCTATATGTTGACTGATCCAAAACAAACCTGAATTAAAAGTATAGAAAAGGTACTTTATGAAGTTTTCTCCATTTTGTGGTGAGATTATACAGAAGAGAGAGTTGCAAGCATTAATCATTATAATAATCAATCGTGTGGTTAAGGTGGTACTAACAAACCTACAACCGTGACAAACCTCTCTCATTTCAGTAAGAACACTGGTGCTGTCTTATTCAGTCTTTTTCATGAATTTCATGTTGACTTCAATCATTTGATCATTTCAGAGAAACATCATTGTTAAAATCTTTGCCATAAATCACCAAGATCACTGCTAAAGCTGTGATCTCCCACTGGATTGACGATGTACGGCCAACAGTAGCTGTTTCAACTGACCTGCAGTTCTTCTCCTTGACTCTTTGATTGTTATCTCTCCTGCATCTGAAATGCTGCTCTCTTCCCCCTGTTCTCACTTCCCCCTGTTCTTTCCACCCACCATGTCCCTAAAGAACAGTGAGAGTGGGTATCTAACAGCCAAGCTGACAGCTAGCAGGAGTCTACCGGCAGGGCAGCGGCCCTAGGGGGGAGTGCAGCCGGCTCTGCTTTTCTTCGTATCTCCAGACAGTAATGAAGACAACTGGAGGGCCTGTGTCTTCTGACCATCAGAAAGTCTGGTTTTCAGTTCTCTGTCTTGGCTTAGCTAAGTTTCTGAAAGACTAAACTATGGAAACCGCAAGCACTAAAATGAAAATGCATAAAAAGAATGTGAATGTTTGCTGCCCAACAACTTGTTTCCATCAAACTGACTTGTAGCAGTAAGTATGCTTTATGTAATGACGTCGTGTTGCGTAAGTTTTAGTTAGTATTAATAAAAAAGTGTGTTTTCATGTAATCCAACTTGTGTCTCGTTGACCTCCCTGACTCCCCCATAACCTACTGATAAGGAAACTTTATTTTATTATTTTATTGCCTTTTATTATTTTGTGCTTGTTGTACAAGGCATGTGAGGGAAATCTGTCACATGACACTAAATGCATGCATAAAAAATGTTTCCAAAATAGATTTTTTTTAACATTTCAGGTATCAACAAACATTTTTCGGCTAAGTTTAAAGAAAAAAGTTTTGTCTTTTTATTAATTTACATCTAATAGCCTCCATCGGCAAACTTTTGGAGGCATTAACGTTTTTCGTGAAAAAAATCCTTTCAATGGAAATTAACTGATCAAACCTAGGATCAAACCTAGGTCTGGATGCATCCTATCAGAGTGAAGTGGGTGGGGAAGGGGAAGGGAATTATGCTATGCACGCACCCCCGCTCAAATGCCTCGGCTCTTTTTTCTGAAGTCGCACATAAATTATTGGGGTTGTGATTTTGGGAGCTTATTTTGTTAAAGGATTGATGCATCTTATTCAAACATTGCAATATACAATTAGACCTGAACTGTTTTCACACATAAAGTATTAACAACTGAATGCAGGAGGCAGATTATGTGGACAGTACAGCGGTGATGTTCTGCTAGAAGAAGCAGCAAAGCAAGTTCTGATGCTGCATTCTGTCATTTTGTGTGGACCATAAAAAAATGCATTTCCATCAGCAGCAAACTGGATCAGAGTTATTAGGAAGTGAACTGAGACCCATGTTTTTTGGCAGACAATGGTTTTGGTTTTTGGCACACTTATTTTGTTTTGTGCACAACCAAGTATGGGTGTAGTGTTTACACCTGTGAAAATGGACTGAACTAACTAAAGAAAAGGTTCAACAGGTCTACACCAAACAATTATTTTGATACCATGGCTAGAATTTGAATCATAGACATTGAGATTTTGATATAAAAACGATCCATCTTTTACCCCTAGACTACACTTAGATGACCTAGCACTGGGTTCTTTCTCCTAAATCTCTGGAACTGGACTGGAATCTGACACACCTCACTCACTGCGCCTTCTCCTTAGTACGGCTGTTTGGTTTCTGAGCACAGCTTTCACGAGCATAGAATGAAAGCTGACCTAATGACCACACAGGCTCTTTGAACACCTGCCTACTCTCAGCACGTGTGCGTATGTGTGTTTGTAAGGGTTGTATGTGTGTGTAGTACACATGTAGTGTATGAAGGCTGAATGCCATGGTGACTGGCAGGTGTGCGCGTAGAGAGCAGATGCTCATGTTCTATGAGCTTTAGGTTGGGCTTAGGTGAACTAGACTGGAATGTTCTGAACATGGTGTCAGGAGACAGCCTTCACTTTCCTCTCGGCACTCGTGTGTGTGCATATTAAGAACGTGCCTTCTGACTAATTTTGATATATGCAAAAATTTGAGTTAACAAACAAAAATCTAATTTACACAACCTTCCAATTACCCCAGATCAGCCAAGACATGGAGTCCATAGCTCCTCAATTTAGTGCAGGTATTACAAAACTAATGTCGCTAACTTGTGATGCACCCAAATGAAAGTTCTTATCCAAAATGTCAATGATTCAAGGCGACAATAGTCATGGATTACGGCATTAACAACATGGATGCCTCAGAGAAGACAACAGGTGAGGAACCTGGTGATTTCAGTCTGACAGACTAGCAAGGCGATCCCGGGCTTGTTGAAAAGGGCATGTCACACTCTATTGACTTGTGCAGGCTTTGTTCTAACATTTCTCCACTGATCTACAGTGCCTCAAAGATCAGACATACGTACGTAGTTATCTCCAGTTTCCCAAAGGCTACAATAAAAAGTCATGTGTCATTGGAGAGGAGGCATAAACCCAATAAAACTGTAAAGTTTGAAGTCGGTTACTCTTATTTTCACCAAGTTACAGTGCTCTAAATTTCTCTGGCTCTATGGACCTCCGCGATGGTCAAGTGTCTTAGCGAGGCCATCTAGGGTGTGACTAAGATGGATACAAATTTGTGAGATTTCAGGGTCCATATCTCTGGTTCTCTGAAGGCTATCTATGCAGTCCAGGGCTGATTGGAAAGGGCGTGCCACACTCCACTGACTTGTGGAGTTTGGCTTCGTCACAGACTTTTAAAGTTGGATTTTAAACCCCTTTGTAGCAAAGGTTCCCTTTCTCCTGTGGTTTTATTCATGACGTCATAAGCGATACGTTAACGCCGACTCGACTTTTGTCACATAACTGTCGACTTTAAAAAATCTTGCAACCCCTACTTTGCGTACAGTTTAAGTGTCTCATAGGTTTTAGATTATTACTGGTTTCCACAGGCATCTCGAGCTAATTCTATGGATTTTACAGAATTCCAGAAACATGTCATTAATGTTTCATTTAATGACAGCCATGAATTATAGAATTCACATTTTGATGTCTGTAATCTGGTATTTCTGTTTTCTATGTTTTCATTGGTTTTCAAAGTTGAATTCACTGTATTTTGTGGCATGGCATGTGCATCATGTGGAAAGAAGATAGACTGTCTGGGACGCACTGCCGCACTGATTGCAGAGGCTGTGTCAAAGCTACAGCCTGTTAACATGGGTGCCAAAATGGTAAGCAAAATTATCCACATCGCTCATGCCATGCAAAGGCAGTGTATGTGTCCAGTCCCTGCTATTGTAAGCAACCCAAACAGAAAGAGGCCAGTGGAGATTCAGCACCAAGACAACAGCCTTCCCCAGATGGCTTCCGGCACCACTAGCCTGACAAGTCTGAGCACACACATACACAAGAATAGCACTGAGTGCTCAAAACACAGCAGCATTCACTCAACAGAATTTATGGCACCAATCTTTCTACCCAGTGCACAAACCAGTAAACAACTCATCCATAAAGACTTTCTGAACAATTTTACTGCACCACAGACTTGAATTACTGATACAGTCTATAACTGTGAAGTAAACTTTATCGTTTCTGAGAAATTACAGACTGGGATCTTGGCCTGGTGTACAGTTCTAGGAAAAGCCTTTAATTGTTATTCAAATGTTCTATGTGACGGTTCTTTAAACTTTAAAAAAGTTCTTCACACTCACACATCTCACATTTTTCATTAGTTCTAACCTGTATTTAACATGCTGACACCCCCCCTCCCTTACCTAACACTAATGCATCTGATTCAGCTCATCCAGAAGTTAATTAGCTGGAGCAGGTGTGCCAGGTGTGGTTGGAACTAGACTCTGCAGGAAAGTAGATCTTTACGCTCCCCTGTGGCCAACAGAATGTACCAGCCACATCACTTAAGGTGGAATGGAAAATCTGAATAAGAAATTGGTGAATACGAAGCAAACCTCAGTCTCTTCTGCTTTCTTTCAGACATGTTCAAATAGCTGGAGCGGCAGAAGATCAACACTGAAAATGTCGGCTATTACGAACTATTTCACAGCTACTATGAGGGACATTAGACAAGTAACCTGGAATCACTTCAAGGTGAGTATCAACAAAACCCAAGAACTTCTTCACTGAATGTTTGATTACACTTGAAAACACGGCATCTCGCTCGATACGCCAAGTATAGCAAAAAGACAGAAACAGAATGGAAAGTCCCTGCAAGCACAACACCACCATCTGTAGTCACTGTTTTGGAACTGATGAGAAGATGTACAAACGACAGTGACAAAGCGCTAATTGTAACAAAAAAAATGATGATATTCATTGTTTTTTTTTTTACTTATTGTAGACTCATCGAAACAGCACCATGCACATGCATTAGGGATTTTGAAAACATTTGTTTCACCTGCCCATGCAAAACCAAAGAAAAAAAAAATTTATCTCCACGTTTTAAAAAAAAAAGCTCAGGAGCGCTTGAAATAAAATACTAAAATCTGTTGTCCAGGGTTCGTAAACACTGATCGTGCAGGAAACAGCATCCACGGTTGTGTGCAAAAGTTTGGGCACCTCTGGTCAAATGATGTTTTATTGATTTTCTTAGTGAAAATAAGTTAACACATCATGTACACTCTCAAAAAAAAGGTACGAAACTGTCACTGGGGCAGTACCCCTCTTGTGGCTGAGGTGGTACCCTCAAGGGTACATCTCAGTACCTATAGTCATGGAACATAACTGTACCATAATCCATTGAAATTATATTTTCTAAGTTGTATTGACTCCCCACACCCCGTCTCGTCTCCAGGCTTTTTTATTTTATTGTTCTGTTTTAAAACATCAGGTTATAAAAAGGTACAAACATGTACTTTTCACCTGGAAAAGCTGGACCTTAAAACCACTTGTACTTTTGAGGGAACATTTACATTGTTTGTACCTTGATAAAAGAAAAATGTACCTGCACAGAACCTTTATTTCTAACAGTGTACATAGAACACACTTCTGCACATTTTAATGCTCAATTACTGTTTATTTGTTGGATTTGAAATTTTCTGGAAAAAACATCAAATATAAACATAAAATGAAGCCTGTGCAAAGTTTATAGCACATTTTAGATATATATTTTTTCAAATAGTCTGGGATGTCTTAATTTTTTCACTTAGAAAATCAACAAAACATGTCATTTGTCCTGTTTGTTCAAACTTTTGCATGTATCTGTAGTTACTTTCCATAAATAGTTTCAAGTAAACCAAAAAAACTCTCAAATTCCACTAATCCTATTGGCAGGCCTAGCAGAACTCAGGAGGATCAATACAGAGTTCATATTTTCACAGCATTTAGACACCCATCTTCAGCATGGAACCTGAATCTGCTCTGCTCTGAAATACCCTTTAAAGAGCATCAACATGGCCACCATCATAGCAGTTCGCTGTCTCTGGTGTCAGGAGAGCAGATCTGTGGCGCTGGCCATTTTGTGTGCCGATCTAATGAAGCGAACAGGGGAAAGCTCAACACAGAGACATAATGTGGTTCGACAGGTATCTAATGGTGCAGAACAGTAAACGGCACAGTTCATGTTTCGGGGTGGTGGACTTTCAACCTGGTAACTCTAAAAGTGACCCAGTGCTGACAGTTAACCCTTAAAGTTATTAAGGGCTGTTACTGCAGTTCTTCTGTGCATCTCCTATTCTGCAATTAATTAATTAATTAACAATGTAATCAATTGGTTATGCTAGGTAATATTTAAGTAGTAAATTACATTTACAGTTTTCATTCTGGTTACGTCTGCACTACTGACCTTTCTTTGTTTTAGTGTCCAAAAATAGCCAAACTGGAAAATATGAGATGTTTTTTTTATTTCTGCACAACAACACTGCATCAAATTCAAATCATAATGAAATATCTCCTCTGTGTTTAACCCTACACACACTAGGTTGTTCCCCACACTCCTCCTAATCAAACTTTAAATTATTTATTATTTCACTTAGATTGGTGTGATAGTTGTGCTCATGTCGTTATGAAATCTGCCTCAAATTTAGACAACATTTCTACTCAAGACAATTCAAATACGTTTATACAGAGATATTTCAAATATAGTACCGTGCAACAATCAGAGATGATCCTTCATTTGTTTAATTTGCAGTAAGTGCAATTAATTTGTTTAGCAGATGTTTCTGAGCAGATTAGATATAAGATAATCCATTTGCATAACAAGGAGAAACTCAAAGGGAAATGAGTGAAAAAAACAGGAGTTTTCAAAACTGGAGTACAAAAAAATTATTTGAAGTCCTAACAGACTCCTAACAACCACCTGCAACACCTGCTAGACCACCAAAACTGTCCCCATCAGATAAACAGCACTTCTTTTATCTTTGAGAGAGAAGAGATAATCAAGCTCCTCTCTTGCTTCAGATCTGAAAACATCTACAGTCCATCCTTCCACTGTGAGAAGACTCAGCGATATGAGTCTGAAAGGACGTGTAGCTGTTCAAGTAGCTCTTACTGAGAAAAGAAAATTAAAAGAAGCTGCTGGTGTTCTCAGAACAACGGACTGACCACCCCAGAGTCCAGACCTCAACATCACTGAATATGTTTGGGATTATTTGGATCATAGTTGTATCTTTTACTATTGTCTATTCTTATAGTATCCACATTCGACATTTACTTTACTTCATTATCTTTCAGACTTTGACCATTCTACTTTCATAAAGTGTGAGGAAGGCCAGCTTCTAATCTGTCAAAACACTATATGATAAATCTCTTCGCTGCCAAAGAGTATAAAAATACTATTATATCATTTGAGGAACAAATTGCTCACCCTTAGCCCCTCTTGTTCTCAGAGGTAACCAATCAAGCTTACTTACTCAAGCAATCTCTCTCCAGTGTGACCTCAGAAATTAGATCAGTCTACTACTTGGAACAGAATCCACTCTTGATTTAGTTGGAGCAGTCAGGAGAATTCAGGACATCAATTAAAATGCTACTCTGTACATTTCAAATGGAACAAATTAGCATGGATTGGGACTATTGAGCAAGACTCAAGTTTTCACATCTTCGCATGAACAGGCCCGTGCAGCAAGACCGCATTGATCTTAACAAGGTCATCTTTGCTGTCAAAATTGACCACAAACGTTACCCTGGGAGCTACAAAAGGTGTGCAAGAATGTGAACTTCTTCATAGAGAGAATAGAGAGACCTGTATATGAACTCACTCTTTAATTCCTCACTCTCAAAACTACATAACTTACAGATTGCTTTCATTGTAGTAACCAAAGCAAGGAATTCAGTGGAAAAATATTTCCATTTAATCCAGATGAAGTCAAGCCAAGATATGTTTGGAGTCTAAATTTTGCTTCTTTAGCTTGGAACTGGAGCAACAAGGCCAACATTGCTAACAAACAATAGCACTCAATAGTCACTCAAATAGCCCATATTATTTCTTTCAAGAAATACATCAGCAAAATTTCTCTCAACCCCCTCAAACCACATCCAGGTTTTCATTTAGGCAGTACAGAATTTTACAGATGACTTACTGAGAGCTATAGCCACTATAGACAGCAGAGTCTGTATTCACTAACCACCTCAGAAGTAGGAGACCTGATCTAGAATCAATATTTGTGACAATGAGTACCATAAAAACAGAGGAATCTGATCCAGGATCAGTCCTGCTTTGTGAATGCCAGAGCTGGTGTTGTCTGAAATTGCCTCAAGTCTGCTCAACCTTAATGAACACCTGGAAGTGGTCTGAGAGAAGTTTTGGGGACGTATTGAGACTATTTGGGTGACTACTGAGATCTAGTGTTTGGTAGCAACGATAACCTCATAGCTCCAGTTCTAAACTGAAGAAGCACAATTTGGACAACAAAAATGCCTTGGCTGATCCACTTCATCTGGGGTAAGTGGAAAATTGGATTAATTAGATTTTTCAACTAACTATTCCTTTAAAGTTCAGAGAACACTCAGTGGCACCAATATGCAAGTGAATACTGAAGTTTGTTACAGTCAATGGCAGTTTACTGACTCTCGAAGGTTCTGCAAGTTTCAACAAGGGGTGGGCGATATAGCAAAATTGTAATATTACAATACTTACAAAGACATCTGTACAATAGAAAATATCACAAATATTACAGTATTTAACAAGTTGGAACAGCCAGATTGCAAAACCAACAAAACAGTTCTTCCAAATGAAAACAAAAATGCAGAAAATCTATAAGCACAATCATTTTATTCTTATAACAGGAACAGCAGGAACAGCAGGAAAAGCCAAACCACTGGTAAAAATGAAATAAGATGATGGCATGGAGCTAACATGGGCTAACATTTATGGCATTTGGCAGATGCTCTTATCCAGAGTGACTAACAATTTGATCATTTTACACACGTATGTGAAGGAAGTGTTAAGGGTCTTGTCCAAGGACTCTTTTTGGTATAGTGTAGGGTGCCCAGGCGGAGAACTGAACCCCAGTCTACAGCATAGAAGGCAGAGGTGTTACCCACTACACTATACCAACCACCAACACAGGTTAACTTATTGAGACAGCACTAAGTTTCATCTGTGGCTTTGTTTGAGGCTTTCCTTTTTGTAATAAAAATGTACAAAAATCAATGCAGTTTTATTAGAGAAGAAGTAGTTAAGGCTGTCGGCAGGACTGTGGGATGAACTGGCTTAAAAGAATGCACTTTCACTGTCCAGAAGTAATGAAAACAGTCTATTCTACTCTATTTGGCTTCGACAGTTAAAAATGAATCTGAATGGAAGCAGAAAGAAAGTGAATCAAATGTGTTCAGGCAACTATAAAGATGACGGCTTCGTATCAGCTCATCTTCACATGATATAAAAGTCTGGTTTTCTAAGATGTCAGTGGACGTTTTGGGTTGTGCTGTGAGATTCATGCTGAACATCTCACGAGAGAAAAAAAATCTATTTCTGGATGGCAGATTGCTTAAATTTGACATAAGATCCATACCAGCCAAGCCAAATGGCAGACGCTTGTGAATGTATCTCTTCTTTCACTCAGTGAAGTGAATA